GATCTTTTCTCAGTTTGAGAATTTGTTTATAGTAAATTAGTATCACTTTAAGACCTCATTTTTTTTTAAATTAATATCCAGAGTAGGTGTTCCAAAAGAAGTTGGCTTTTTTGTTTCATTTTGTTTTGTCTTTAACAACTCCTATTAAGTTATTTATTTCTTGGGTTTGTGATGTTTAGGAAAAGTTGAAGGTATTTATTTGTACATTGTCTCTGTGGAGAAATACAAAATATAGCTGATGTGCACTTGTTTTATTTGCTTTCCAATGCCTTCTGATTGGAAGTTACAAAATTTGAATAAGTGTTTCAAGTAAGTTAAAATAGCTCTTTCATTTGAAATAAAATGGATACTTTTTTTTTTCTTTGTTATTGTTAGGTGGCATCAAGTTAATGCCACTCTTAGTGACCCAAGTGAAGGTAGATCTTCCCTATAGAGTTTTCTAGGCTGTAATCTTTACAGGAGCAGATCACCAGGTCTTTCTCCCATGGAGCCTCTAGGTGGGTTTGAACTGCCAACCTTTAAGTTTGCACCTGGGCACTTAATAGTGCCACCAAACCACACACACACACACACAAACCCAAACCCATTCCCTTGGAGTCAGTTCTGGCTCATAACAACCCTATAAAGGACAGAGTAGAACTTCCCCATAGAGTTTCCAAGGCTGTAATCTTTACAGAAGCAGTCTGCTTCATCTTTCGCCCATGGATCAGCTGCTAAGTTTGAACTACCAATCTTTTGGTTAGGAGCTCTGTGCTTTACCACTATACCACCAGGGTTCCTTTTTAGTTCTTTAAAGATACCATTTCCTCTTCATTTATTCACTGGCTAAAAAGTTCTCTGACTTTTATTTTAAGGGACTGAGCTTCCTCATTTTCTAATTCATTTTCTCAACCTTGGCACCATTAACATTTTAGACTGAGTAATTTTTTGTTGTGGGGGCTTCCCCATGCCCTGTAGTGAGTTTTGCAGCATCTCTGGCTTCCTACTAGATACCTATGGCACCCTCCCAGACCAAATGTTCCATGAGGGCAAAATCATTTCTTGGTAAGGGCCACTGTTCTAATCTATGGGTAACACTTGCTTCAGAACATTAAGTGGGTGTATAGCATGGGCTATGTATGCTTTTTTTTCCTTTCTTTTTAATCTGATTCTTTCCTACACTGGTATTGATCATATTTTTTAAATGACTATTGTTTTATTTCTATTCAAGATAGTTTTAAAGAAAGAGGATATGAAAGTCTTCATTCCCCACCATCAGGCCAAACCCTAATGCCTTGAGGGTTGTACACAGTAATTAGTTCATACTACTTTTGTCACTGACCTCTCCAAATTTAGACAAGCTTCTAGTTGTGTGTATGTTTTTAAAAATGAAATGAAAACATGTATGCAAAAAAAAAAAAAAAAAGAAAAAACAAATTCATTGCTATCAAATTGATTCTGACTCATGGCGACCCTCTGTGTTACAGAATAGAACTAGTCCATGGGGTGTTCTTGGCTGTAGGGGGAAGCAGATCACCAGGCCTTATGGGAGCAACTGGGTGGGTCCAAACTGCCAACATTTGGGTTACTAGTCAAGCACAAACCATTTGCACCACCCAGAGACCTTGAAAACATATATAAAACCCACTGCTTTTGAGTCAGTTCCAACTCATAGCAGCTCAGTAGGACAGAGTAGAATTGCCCAGTAGGGTTTCCAAGACTGTAAGTCTTTACAGGAAGAAACTACCTCATCTTTCTCCCAAAGAGCTGTGTATAGATTTGAATCACCAACCTTTTGGTTAGCGCCCAATGCTTTTGACCACTATACCCACCAGAGCTCCTAAAAACATGTATGTGGTTTCCGAGGCGGTATCACTACAGAAGTAGATTGCCCAACCTTCCTTCCAAGGAGTGGATGGTGGATTTGAACCGCCAGCCTTCTGGTTAGCAGTCAAGTGCCTTAGGTGCTACTCTACCAGAGCTCCTGGAAACATGTATAGGGAGATAGAATTTTCATCTTAAAAAGTATGAATGTTATAAGGGTAACACAGTTTAGAGGGTAAAAAAGGAAAAATGTACATTTAAGTAATATAAAGCTTTGTTAAGAATTTTCCTTTAATTCTCTTTTAGTAGTGGTTTAGTGTGTAGACTTTCAAGTTTAAGGATTCTAGTAATTAAGTTTTTAGTGGAAGAATACTGTACATTTGCAGGATATATTTGTGTACAGACTACAGTCAGTCTTGAAAAAATAGGAAAAAAAAATCTATATCTAAAAAATAACTTTTTAAAAATGTAATTTATAATCTTCCAAAAAGGACAGTCTTCCTTCCATACACTAGTGGGTTAAATGCTGCTGCTTTCCCAGCCCTGAACTGCGTAGGAAGGAAGACCTTTGAGATCAGAAGCTGACATGAAGAAGAGATCTCGACTATTGTAAAAATCTCCCCAACATGTTCTTCAGATCTAGAATAGGAGTTGGAAAGAGAGGGGATTTCATTGAGGTGTCCACACTTTTCATACCTGTCCACCTCCTCTTCTAAGCCTTAAGGCATCTTTAGGCCACATGGCATATCCTTAGAAAAACAAAAACAGATGTTAGTGAGAGCTGTTACACCAGCATGCACATGGACTTCATGTCCTCTTATTTCTTATCCAAGCCTTCCTTTGGCTCTACTCTCCCCTATTTTTATATGATTATGAAAGAAAATAATTCAGTTTATTAATTAATGAAATTATTAATTCAAATATATGTGTGCCAGCTAGGTATTGAGTTTGCACATTCAAGAAATAACATGATGAGTACATACAGATGGTAAGTTAGACTTATTTATAGAGCTCTAGCATTTTACAACTTGGAGAAATATAAGAGTACTTTAGAACCCAAAAAAAGGTATTATTTGTGTAGCAGATAGTAAATGTACAAACTTGTTACTCTAGGAATTGGTACTAATTTAAAATAGGAAGTCAAAGGTGGTTTAAATTCATGGATGATGGAAGTTCTATTATTAAATAGTAATTTAATACTCAGCATCTTTCAAGCTTTATATGATTCTTTTAAATCTCTTTTGAAAAGATGTTTTTCTTTGATTTATTGTCTTTTCTTGGTTCATTAACTTCTTCAACAAATATTGCATGTCTAGTATGTGCCAGGTGCTGCAAATTATCTCCTTTCTTATTGTATTCTACTTTCTTGGGGTGGGGGGAGGGGAGCCGGTTTGAATTGGTGGCTGCAATTTATTTTCTGTAAGTCAAGGTTTAGAAGTCTTTTACAGTAAGCAAGTCAGAGGTTGCATGGTGTCCTGCAGAGCAGGGGTCATACATACATGCTTGTGCTTGCTAGCGCATTCATGAGCACGTACATGTTGTTAGCTGCCTTCAAGTTGGCTCCAACTCCTAGTGACCTTGTATATAACGGAGCATCCTCACTATATTTGACCCTTACTATATTTGACCCTATTGTTGCAGCCACTGTGTCAATCCAACTTCATTAAGGGTCTCCATATTTTTTGCTGACCCTTTACTTTAGCAAGCATGATGTCCTCCAGCAATTGGTCTCTCCTGATAACTAGTCCAAAGTAAGCAAGAAAAAGTCTCACCATCCTTGCTTCTAAGGAATATTCTGGCTCAGCTTTCTCCAGGACAGATATTTTGTTCTTCTGACAGTCTATAGTATAGTCAGTATTCTTCACCAACACTATAATTCAAATGTATCAGTTCTTTTTTGGTCTTCCTTTTTTATTGCCAGCTTTTGCATGCATATGCAGTGTAATGCAACACACTGCTGTGGAATTGGACCTGGCTCATAGTGACCCCTCCTTGGGTTTCCAAGGTGGTATCGAGGCAGTGGAAAATACCATGTCTTGGCTGGGCACACTGTAGTCATCAGCGTGACATCTTCACTTTTTAACATTTACATACCTGATTCTTAATCTTCTAATAATGGAAAAGTATAGGTTTTGGGGAGAAGAATAAAGTTATAAAACACGTCTCCCTCCCTGATTGTCTACCAAATTAATAAGACTCTGTACGTTGGGGATCTGTAGGGTAGGAAGCCATATTTTATGTCCTTGCCAACAAGCCCTTTTTATAATATCCCTTAACACCGTGGTTGTCCCTACAGACCCAAGGGAAGAAAGGTCTCAGGAGCTGGAAAGTGTGGAGTAGTTGAAAGACAGTGTGAAGTTTGTAATTCATTTGTTCACAGACATTTATTGAGCTCCTATCAGTCCCAAGAAAATGTGCCCACTGCAGGACTCCATCATCTAGAGCAAACCTTTCCATTCTCTCACAGGCTTCCCATGTAGTAGGAAACCAGACGAGCAAGATCATAGAAAACATCTGCCTGTTCCACAGTGTTGCCTGGGGCTCAGCCTGGGAGTGCCCTCCAGAATTACCTCTATAGGCCACTGACCTGTTCTTTAAACATGAGCATGAGTAAGGGAATCATAGGGCACAGAGAAATGCACAGTCATTTTAACTGTGAATTCAGTTATGACCTCATGCTGCTATATAAGCTGCTAGTCATTTTTTTTTCAAAAATATTTCTTAGAAAACCAAGAATTAAAATGAAATGAATATTTAATATGTAAGTAAAAGATTGAGGTATGGGCTCTATCTCAGAGACCGTTTAAATATCTAGAAGCACTTTAATAGGAGGTCATTTGAGCCAGAGTCAAAACTCGTGTATCTCAGCATTTTTTAGCAAATTCACTAATAATTCTTCCATGTGAGCTATAATCATTTGCTAATTTGGAATCAAGAATGTTCCTCTTACTGCTGAACTTAAGAAATGATTACTGACACTTAAGGGCAGAAAACGGAAATAAGAATATGATGCATTAATAGAACTGTTTGCCAAATTCCCTGAATGATTTGATAATTTAAATGCTAGAAAGATATATATCAACAGGGCTTGGATATCAAATGAAATACACTTAAAAAACAGCAAGTCAGTCTTCAGGCCACTGTATGGTAAATTTAGAATTCTGTAAAATGTTTCTTTCCTTTTTTTCTCCTTCTAGCTTGTCAAAATTCCTAAAATTGATCCCCACAATGAAGTACATAACTTTAACTTCTATTTGTCAAATGTGGGTAAAGACAACCCTCAGGGCAGTTTTGACTGCATCCAGCAGACATTCTCAAGGTAAGTACTTTTCAAGGTATGCGGAAAGGAAAATAATTTTTATTTAAGAGACTTTTTTTAAAAAATTAAACAATAAAATACACAGTTCTTGTTGTTGTTGTTATGTGCCATCAAATCATCTCCTACTCATAGCAACCCTTCCTTGGGTTTCTGAGGCAGTGTCTCTACGGAAGTAGATTGCCCAATTTTCCTTCCAAGGAGTGGCTGGTGGGTTTAAACCGCCAACAAAATATACAGTAGTCGTTTCATAAATATTTATTGAATTGAATTTGCATAATTTATTTATTTATTTGAAAAATATTGAGCACCTCCTATGTGTTAGAAATTATATTTCTCACTGTGGGATACTATCACCAAAATTTTAAGACTTCCGCCTCAGAAGGGCTCTTGAGGTATGAAAGATATCTTACCTATTTTTTATTAAAGTCAACTTTAGGATTTTTTTTTTAAAGGTTCTATTCACTGCCTTTAAGTAAGAGTGGCCCAGCGTTGCCAGCTACCCTAAGGGAGCAAGTAGTTTACCAGCAGGCTCGGGACCATGGTCGCAGGGGACATCAAGCTCAGTTAGCATAACATAATACACAAAAACATTTTTCTATATCCTACTTTAGTGAGTTGCAACTGGAATCTTAAAAGTTTGCAAGTGACCATCCAGATGCAACGATGGGTCTCTCCTCATCCAGCTCAAAGAAGAATGAGGAAAGCTGAGGACTCATGGAAACAATGAGTCCAAGGAACTGGTAGACCATGCAGTCCTCAGCCTATATTACCATGAGACTAGAACTAGATGGTGCCCAGCTACCACGGTCAACCACTTGGAGGGAGATCCATACAGGAGATCCTGGATAGAGTGGGGGAACAGTGTGTAAGAAAATTCAAATCATAAAAAAAAAAAAGACCAGGTTTCCTGATGTGATAGGGCCTGGTGAGACCCCTGAGACTATGGCCCCTAGCCACCCTTTGGGTCTGGAATTGAAGTCACTCCTGTGGCTTCCAGCCAAACAATAGGCAAGCATGTGGGGTGAGCATTCACATCAGGTAGACACTACTTACCATAATCAATCATGGAAGAACAGAAGGGCAGTGTTTGCACAGGGAGACAGCTCAGGGTAGGGAGTGCGTGGGAGGGAAGGACACAGAGAAGAGTTAACTACAGGGAGGAAATGGGAAGAGAGCTATTACATTGTGGGGAATTGCAGTCAATGTCATGAGACAAAATGTGTATGAACTACTGTTGTTGTATTGTTGTTGTTATGTGCCGTCGAGTCAAACCCGACTCATAGCTACCCCTCCTTGGGTTTCTGAGGCAGTATCACTACAGAAGTAGGATTGCCCAACCTTCCTTCCGAGGAGTGGCTGGTGGATTTGAACCACCAGCCGTCTGGTTAGCAGGCAAGTGCCTTAGCCACTATGCTACCAGAGCTCCCATGAACTACTGTATGAAAGATGAATTTGCTCTATAAACTTTCACCCAAATCACAATAAATATTTAAAAAAAAAAAAGAATGACCCAGTATTAAGCATTCAGCTATCAATAGGAAGGTCAGTGATTCAAACCTCTCAGCTGCTCTGTGGGAGAAAGATGAGGCAGTCTGCTTCTGTAAAGATTTGCAACGTTGGAAACCCTATGGGGTGGTCCTACTCTGTCCTTTAGGGGCGCTATGATTCAGAATCGATTCAATGGCAATGGCAATGGGTTTGGTTGTTTTTTATAGCATACTTGAGGCTCACACTCAAGGGTGAAAGAAGAAAAGTATATTTAAATATATATGTTTATATGTATCTATAAACATATATTACATATCCCCTTCCCTCCTCCCTGTGCAAGCTTTAAGATAGATTTTTAAAATATTTTTTTATTCCATGACAAAATGGAAACTAGAAATTAACTCCAGTATCGTAATCCCTTCTTTGCCGCTCCTGATTAAAATTAGAAAAAGAAAATAAAGGGAGAGAAGAAGATAAGAATACACCCCCACACCGCCAGGGTACCATGGAACCCTTATTTACTTGGGTCCTCAGTAAACAATAAGCTACTTGTTTCACTCTTCTTTGCTGTGGTTGTTTCTGATTAAAGAATGGTCTTTTTGAGTAGGGGGAGTTTGTACTGCCTGTGAATGGAGACAGGCCTTGGGGCCCCCAGCCTCCCAAGGAGGACTGCCTCATTTCCTCAGTGTACAGCCCTTTGACATTGTCCTATAGTCATCCATTCCTCTCTCTCATTTGTGCGATACTTGAAACTGTGAAAGCTCTAGCTATACTGGGAGAAACTGGGGGTAAAGATACAAAATAAGGCACTTTACTAAAAGAGTTTCACATTTCTCCTTCCATTTAAGGTGACTAAGTGACTTTTTGTTTGTTTTACCTTAATCTGCCATTTTTCCTTAAGTATTCATTAATTTTGCTTTGTAAAATAAGATTGTTTGCTCCTCTCAACTTATATTTTTTGGTATAAATTTCATGTGTTGTAATTATGTAGACTCTTCAGTGCTTTTCACTATGCTATTCACTGGCTACATGTGGCTATTTAAATTTCAGTGGATTAAAATTAAATTAAATTAAAAACTTAGTTCCTAATTCATACTAGCCACATTTCACAGGCTTATTGGACAGTGGCGATATTGAGCATCTCCACTATTGCAGAAAGTTCTATTGGACAATGCTGCTGTAGATTATAGAATCACCAAGTCTCAGACTCCTCAGTGATTGTGTAAGGAACTCTGGTGGCACAGTAATTAAACTACTACCTGAAAGGTCAGCAGTTCAAACCCATCAGCCACTCTGAAGAAGAAAGATATAGTGGTCTGTTTCCATACTACTTTTCTGTCCTATAGGGTCACTATGATTGTGTAGTTAAACCCCTTCATTTCACAGGTGACTTGTCCACAGTTACGTAGCTAGTTAGTTGGTGGCAGGACTAAATGAAAACTTAGTTCTCCTAACTCCCAGTCTAGAGTTCTTTACACTACAGGACACATCAATTTTCTAATTGTTGGGCATCCTCTGAAAGATTTGTCTTCAGATAGGTGTTTTATACGTGAAAACATTTGACATCAAATTAACTATGTCCCCTTAAGAATTTTGTTCAGGAACTTAATATCCTACTCAAAACTAATCATATCATCCTAGGTAATACGTTTTCACTCTTTAATCGTATATAACATGTATGTTTGTTTATTTTTACCCTACTTGTTTGGATAAGGATTTAAAGTCACACAAGACTATGATGCAGCAAAAGAAGAGAATTATTGTGAGGAAATTGGGGCAAATAATGTTAGTATGTTCTCAGTATGATCTAAGGTGCTTTATAAAATAGTATGACCTTAGCCTGTCAGTTAAACCTTTCCATAACTCACCTCTATCTTTTCTATTCAATTTTATTTCCCCCAGGATCTTGTCATTCCAACAACAGTTTAGGCTCTTTAAGGGCAGGGGCTTTCTTATTTCCCTTTTTCAAGTATCAAAGTGCTGGCTGAGCTTAAAATAGAAGCCTAAAAATAAATAAATGTTCAGAATTTTAATACATTTTAATTCATCTCTTTTCTTACCTTTTTTTGAACCACACTTTTCTCATATGCAAAATGGAAGAAATCTCACAGCCAAAATTACCTTTCAGAAATCTCTTAATTATGCCAATTCACAGACTTAGTGACAGTACATCATTTGGGCCTACAACCTATAGTAATGCATACTCAAGTATGGGAAATTGTGCACTAGACTAGAGGAATACTAAGGAAAGTCTATGTATATATGTCAAATTATTTCACTCTTCTTTGCTGTGGTTGTTTCTGATTAAAGAATTGTCTCCTTGAGTAGGGGGAGTTTGTTCTGCCTGTGGATGGAGACAGGCCTTGAAGCCCCCCTTTGAGGTAACTCAGTTGAGAAGGGATGTGTAGAGAGTTCTTGAGAGTACCTTTTTGCCTACAGAGTTTAACTTCATTTTGTTTTCACATAAAGATCTGTTTCCTGACCTTGCGTGGTATAAGAAGTAACTTCATCATGATTGTTAGTAAGCTCATTATGTAAATTAGTTGTTGTTGTTGTTATTGTTATGTGCTGTTGAGTCGGACCTGACTCATAGTGACTCCTTCTTGGGTTTCCGAGGCAGTATCACGATGGAAGTAGATTGCCCAACCTTCCTTCCAAGGAGTGCCTGGTGAGTATGAACCGCGAGCCTTCTGGTTAGCAGTCAAGTGCCTTAGGCACTATGCTACCAGAGCTCCCATAAATTAGTTAGTAAATAATAGAAGAAGATACTGAAATATAAACTTCTGCCTCCAAACCTTCATTCTGCTACAGTCTTTTCATCTCACCCTTAACCTTCTGTCCCTCTTATCCTGAGAGTTAATCTGTTCCCATCCTCTTCCCCCTCAATAAACTGCATTCTCCAATAGTATTTCACTCCCTTCCCCTTTTTCTTTCTCCCTTCCTTCTTTTCTCCTTTCCCTCTTTCACTATTTTTTTCTTTCTTTATTTCCAGCATTCAAGCATGTCCAATTCTCTCTCATTTGGAAAAAATAAACTCCCTTCCACTTCTTGACCCAGAGTCTCTCTTGCTTCAGTCCCACCATTCCTTTGAAACTACTCCATCAGAGTAGGCAGTGACCTTGAATATAATTTGAATCCAATGGACACTATTTAAAAAAATAAACCTGTTGCCATCAAATCAAATACAACTCATAGCAACCCTATAGGAAAGAGTAGAATTGCTCCATAGGATTTCCAAGACTGTAGTTTTTATTTAAGAAGACTGCCAGATCTTTCTCCTATGGAACTGCTGGTGGATTGGAACTATCAACTTTGCGGTTAGCAGCCAAGTGCTTAACCACTCCACTACCAAGACTCCTTAATGGATGCTATAGCTCCTCTTTATTATAGTTTTGTTTCCAATATTTGACACTATAGACCATGCTCTGCTTCTTAAAGTGTTCTGTCCAGTGGTTTCCATGACATATTACTTTTCTAATTTCCTTCCTACCTCTTTGGCTGTGCATTTTCAG